AAATTCCATTCAATGAACTTACATACGCTCGACCAATCAAAATTTATTGCATACAGATAAACAAATTTGATGTTTTCATTTATAGAGATTGATTGATTTGATTTTTTAGCCAATTAGATATTTTAAAACGGACAGGACACTCGTGACATCGGGTAATTTTATTATATTTTGATTGATTTGATATATATATATTATATATATATATATTATTATTATTTATTTATTTATTTATTTTTTTGTTATTATTATTTTTTTCTTTTTTTTGTTGTTTGCTACTATAAAATAAAACTAACAGCTTTTTTTTTTTTATTAGGTTTTTCTTTCATTTATTTTCTTTCACAAGACCAAAATATTAGATTTATCTTCTTCTTGTTTTTTATTATTATTATTATTATTATTATTTGTTGGCTTTGACTAATTTGGGTTTTGTTTTTATCTTTTTAAAGACATCACTAGAGGATTCATTTAGAGACTCTCTAATTTAGATAATGCATTAGTATTATTATAAATACTACCACAATAGTGAATAATCCTAAATTGTAAAGCTGCATTTATAAAATCTATTGGGCTCAATATTCAGTTAATTTGAAGGTTTGAAGCCATCAAAGCAACATGATTAGTTATGATGATGAAAGACTTCAATCTGACATAATGATGAAAATGCTCAATTATCTAAAGAATAGCAAAACATTCATGCTCAGTAGTAGTATAGTTTTTTTTGATCTTGGTCATCCTATAACTTGCATATACAACAATATATTTATTTCTTTGATCTTCTTTTTGTACAAAAATGGTATCCAAACTATATTTTAAGATATTAGTATGAATTATAAATGACTTGTCAAATTCAAATAATGCAGAACTGGTGTATTGATAAAGAATTGCTTTAGTTTATTAAATGCATCATCCTAATCCTTTTTTTATTCATATTTAATATCTTTTTATAATAGCTAATGAAAAGAGTATATAATAGTGTCAAATCTGGAAATAAACTTCTAATAATATAAGGCCAATTTCAGAAAACCTCACAATTGTTGAAGTGTTTGTAGCACAGAATAGTTTTAAACTTTTTCTATTTTTCCCTTATCAGGACGTATATCTTCTCTATTAATGATATGTCTTAGAAACTATAAATAGGGCTTGAAAAAATAGCACTTATCTGTATTTAGCTTTAATTCTATGCTCCTTAGTTGTTAAAGACAGCAATAAAATAATTTATATGGGGCTTTTGCTAACAAAATGACCCTCCGAGCTATTGTTACACAAGATTTTAATTAGTAAAATCATAACAAATCTATTTTTAGTAAAAAAAAATCATAGCAAAGGCCCCATATATTCTCTGAACAATAGCAAATAAATGATAATATTGTCAAGATATATGACAATAAATTGGTTCAAAAATTTAGCCAACACTTCATTCATCATATATTAAAATATGACAGAGTCATTGCAGAGCCAAAGAGTATTACTACAAACTTGTAAGTGCCAAAGCTTGTAATGAAAACAGTTTTTTTAGTATTTTCTTCTTTTATTCAAACTTGCCAATAACCTAATATAAGATCTAGTATCGAGAACCATATTGTGAACCTAAAAATTTACAAAAGGTTGTCAACCCAGAAAAGAGAGAATGTATCTTTCTTCATAACTGAGTTGAGCTTCTGATAGTTGATTTATAGGTACAATTTACCACTTTTTTTGTAACAACAATCACAGAAGATGCCTAGAAGCTAGTACTTTTTTTTAATAAGTTCTTTTAGTTCTTAACCTTTCAACTTCATCCTTATAAAGCTTTGTATACTAGAGGCAGTACAATTCAGAGCTTGCTTTATAGATAAAGCACTTCTGGTATTTATTTTATATATATGCTAACATTTGACCCAAGTTACTTATATTTTTTGCAAAAATATTCTCTTTTTAATTAACAAACTGTACATGTGATCTCATTGATCATTAGTCAAGATTTTATCATCAAGATAAGTTTGTAGTTTTTCTATTATAGCTTTTTTCTTCTTGTCATTTTCTACCAAGACACTTTCAGCACTAGCCAGATATACTGAAGGACTTTTGTAATCAAGTCAGAGATTTTTATATAATTTCAATTCATTGTATTGTATAGCCAGATATTTTTTAGCTTCTTTCAAAATCTTATCTTCAAATTTGAAGTTATTTAAGAGACTCAGGTCTTCTAATTTTTCTAATACTTTTGGTTCAATAAACATAGATAGTAGAACTGGCAAAACTTTGCTTTCAAAAAATATTAGTAATTTTACATTTTAATTCTGGAATTATACATACAGTTTTCTTTTATCAGTATAGAATTGGGCTTTAGTTTACAAGAACCCAATCTATTTTCAAGAGAAGAGAACATTTAGTCATCTTAATCATCTAGAACATAGTTAGTACTACAACACTCTTAAAAACCAACTTAAGATCAGTTTTTCTTCTTAGAGCTCATATCTTAGTTCTATTAGCATTAATAACTTGTATAGTAAAAATCTGTCAATTTGCAAAAGCAACTTATTTATTATTTTATTAGACATAATACTTATAGCAGTGCTAGTATCAAGTATAGCAATTGCTGAAACACCTCTAATCCTAATATATAACTAGGCAGTAGTAGTTTTCTTGTTTACTAGAAATTGTTTAGATATTACTTCTATAGCTCTCTAGATAACTACAAAGTTTGTGATAGCTACTGGTATAAGGAACCTTTTTAATATATTCGTTAAATTATGTTGTTGGTCTGAGTATTGTAACATTTGCTTATCATAACATTAGCTTTTCTTTATATAGTTTCAAGTTTTGATATTGAAGGTCCTCTTTTTCGTTAGAGCATTTTGGAAGTTCTATAGAGGCTGGTATCACCAGTGCAGACATTACTAGTAGTAGATTCCTATTTATTAGAGCTATAGTTAGTATTACTTCAGAGGGCTGGCTGGTTTGAAGTTCTTTATTAGCAGGTTTGGGCACTATTTTCCTATAATATCCTGATCTTTGAGTAGTATAAAGCTGATGACAGGTAATAGGTACAACAAAAACTTCACTATTGGTGATGTATTCTTTTCATTTGTCAACCATACTTATGTGGTTTGCATCTCTGAGCTGATAAAAGATCTGAACAGGCTACACAATATGATTTACACAAACTTGATTTAGAGCTTGAAATACTGGTGGTCTTAAACTAGAGCATGGTTTTGACTTGAAGTTTTTTTTAATATACAGTTGCACAAGATATAACTGAGTTCTCTATATCTGTAACAAGTTATATGGGTGCAGTTATTATGATTATTTGACTGAGGTCTTGCTTCAACATAGGTAGCTATTGTATTTGTTAATTTCTTATACACAACGGTTAATATTTGCATTTGCTAGTACAATTGTTTAACTTCTCTGTTCTAAGTTCCAACTTTTCTATCTTTTGTATCATAATACTCTTCTGCTTTAATTTTACAAATACTCTGAATCACAAGATCCAGATTTTCAGGTTTGGCAATACTCAACCAGATAGCTATCTTAGCTTTGAGCCTTCTAGGAATATTTGTCAATTTATGACATAGTAGCTAATTTCTGGGATCTACCTTTCACAACAGTTTTTTAAATTTGAATACATATAGCTCTACTTATTTTTAAAATCAACATACCACTTGTGTTATTTTTCAGAGTAGTAAAATATTGTACAATTGATTGAATGAAACTATCAACAGGGTAACTTTCTCAACTCTATTATATCAAATTATCCTTTATTTAATTATACCAGTTGTAGCAATTCTTTACAAATATCTAGTAGTAATTTTAATCTTATGCTTAGGAAGCCAATTATTAGTATTAGTAGTATAATCAAAAGCTTCTACTTATTCTAGAGGATTCTCATCATCTTTTTTATAGAATATATTTATATAGACTAAGTTGGTTTTTCAAGCTAGTAGTCTGAAGGTGGCAGCAACTTCAACAGTCGCTTCTTTGAAGGCAGTAGCGATTTTTAGTAAAACTAAATGAAGAAGATCTGGTCCTTGATCTCTGGCTGGTTCTTTATAATTAACCTGATTGTTTCTAACAGATATATAGTTATTTGCTACTATACATCAATTATTAGTAGAGTATTCTTGGTTTAAGATTAGCAGATCATTTTCTTCAATATAGTTGAGAATAGTACTTGAGTTGACAGTTCTTTTGAATTCTATAAGGTTGTAGATATATTT